CTTAGTGTCATCAGCAAACTTGGACAGTGTGCTTTCCACCCCCTCGTCCAAGTCACTGATGAAGATGTTAAACAGTGCGGGCCTGAGGACCGAGCCCTGGGGGACCCCACTGCTCACATCTTGCAGGTTGAATGCGACCCATCCACCACTACTCTCTGGGTGCGCCCCATCAGCCAACTTTTTACCCATCCAACTGTGTAGGCATCAATGCCACAGTCGCCTAATTTATTGATGATAATGGGGTGAGAGACAATGTTAAAGACCTTCTTTAAGTCTACAAAGACTACATCCATGACGACACTATCATCCAAGGATTTAGTTACTTGGTCATAAAAGGCAATCAGGTTGGTCTGGCAGGACCTGCCTTTGATGAACCCATGCTGGTTGCCCCTGAGCATGATCTCCCCTGCAGGCCCCCCACAGATGTGCTCCTTGATGATTCTCTCCAAGATCTTCCTGAGCACCGAGGTGAGGCTTACAGGCCTATAATTACTTGGGTCCTCCTTCCTCCCTTTCTTAAAAGTTGGGACCACATTACTTGGTTTCCAATCCTTCGGCACCTGGCCAGATGACCACGAATGCTCATACAGCCGGGCCAAGGGCTCCGTGATGACCCCTGCCAGCTCCCTCAACACCCTTGGGTGGAGGGCATCTGGACCTGCAGATTTAAAAATGTCTAGCCCTTCCAGAAGATCCCTAACTACATCTGCGCTGACCGAAGGCCTGACAGAGCTATCCCCAAGATTGTCCCTACCTCTGGCAGGAGGGATGTCCCAGTCCCTGTTCAAGAAAACAGAGGCAAAGAAACTGTTAAAAATATCAACTTTCTCATCTGGCATAGCCACAAGATTACCATTTGGGTCTTGCAGGGGCCCTACATTGCTTGGTGACCTCTTCTTGCTCTCAATGTACTTGAAAAAGGACTTTTTGTTGTCCTTAATCCTGGACGCTAGCCTGAGTTCCATCTCTGCCTTGGCCTTCCTAATAGCCCTCCTACACTCCCGGGCCGAGGAGGAGTACTCCTCCTTGGTGATAGCTCCTCCCTTCCACTGGTTGTACACCCCCCTTTTAGTCCTCAAGCATTCCTGAATGCCCTTGCTGAGCCAAGGGGGTTTCTGAGCACTCTTACCCACTTTGCTTCTCTCAGGGATTGTTACCTTTTGGGCCTGGAGGATCGTCCCCTTAAGGTACGACCATCCCTCATGGACTCCCATCTCCTCTACCTTCTGGGCCCTCAGTGCCTCCCCCACTAATCTCCGAAGCTCACTGAAGTTGGCCCTTCTGAAGTCAAGGGCTTTAGTCTTGCTGTAAGCCCTTGACACCCAAGCTGTTGGGCCGCATATTGGCAAGCATTGGCCAATATAGCTTCTTAATAATCAGCCACCGGTATCGGCCCAAAAAATCTGTATTGGTGCATCTCCAACTTTTCCAGTGAGTTCTGATTACAACACGGTTGAGCAGACTCAATTAATCAGTGTTCTAATAGTAAAAATAATGACAAAATGAAGGGCTGGCATTTTCCAAGGGCTGTCTTAAGTCTATCAAGGAGTGCCTTGAGTTTAAAAAGGTTGAGAACCACTGTTGCAGAATGTTCTCAACCACCTCCCAGTTTACATTCATAAGCTTTTTTTTAACAGTTCCTTCCAGTGTTCAGTTTTGGGCCCCCACTACAGAAAGGAAGTAGGCAAATTAGAGAGAGTCCAGCAGGGGGCAACAAAATGGTTAGGGACTGGGGGACATAATTTATAAAGAAAGACTGAGGGAACTGGGCTTATCTAGTCTAGAGAAGAGAAGACCAAGAGGGGATTTAATAGCAGCCTTCAACTACCTGACGGGCGGTTCCAAAAAGGATGGAGCTGGACTGTTCTGTGGTGGCAGATGACAGAACAGGGAGCAATGGTTTCAAGTTGCAGCAAGGGAGGTTTAGGTTGGATATTAGCAAGAATTTTCTCATGAAGAGGGTAGTAAAACACTGGAACAGGTTACCCAGAGAGGTGGTGGGATCTCCATCCTTGGAGGTTTTTAAGACCCAGATAGACAAGCTTTTGCTGGGATGATCTAGTTGGAGATGGTTCTGCTTTGAGCAGGGGGTTGGACTAGATGACCTTCTGAGGTCCCTCCCAACCCTCATTTTCTATGCTTCTATGATCCCAGTCACTTTCACTCAGTCATGCTTAGGTTGGGAAAATAGCCAACTGCATTCTGTTCGCAGCAATGGTCATAGTCATTTGTACTGAGATTTCCCTATTTCTTTTCTGTTTGCTTCCTTTTATCCATAAGAATACAGGAACCCCCCACTATTCTCAAATCTGCTATTCACGGATTCGAATATTCATAGTGCGCCGTGCCAACTGGGTGGGTCAGAGCAAGCGCCGCCGCAGCTCCCTTGGTGCTGCACCAAGCTCCTGCCTCTGCAGTTAAGCCAGGCATGGAGCGCTGCATGGGGCAGGGAACAGCAGAGCTGGGCAGGCAAAGAGCGAGTGCCAGGGATGGGGAGGGAGGCAGTGGCAGCATCTTTTGCCCCTGGGGGCAGCTGCGGTCAGTCCCCAGGCACTGCAGGTGAGCCCTGCACTTCCAGCCTCTTGTGGGAGGGGTGCAGGGGGCGGCTGTGGGGTCTGACAGAGATCCCCGGCAGTATTCGCAGATTTTCTCCAGAATGGATCCCTCGTGAATGGTGAGGGTCTCCTGTACATCTAATATTGACCTATC